CCCCAGAGGCCGCCGGGAGTTGTAGTGCGACGGGGACCGCCCCGTGAACTCCGAAAGGGGGGGCAGAAACGCCGCTTCCTTCCTCCGCTCCTTCCGGCCTTCGAGGGAAACGGCGGACTTTGGGACCCCGCGGAGAAATCTCAGGAGTGCCGCCAGCCGCCTTTCCACCGGACTCCAACTCCCAGAAGCCCTGGCCACTCGCCCTGCTGGCAAAGGCTTCTGGCAGCGGTAGTCTCAAAGAGAAACCAGGGGGGCAGAAGGCGGCTGAACCCCCCCCTCCCGCCCGGGACAGGAGGACGAGGCTCCCCTTTTCAGCTGCCGGGGGCGGGGGCTCTCTTTAGCTAACGGGATGGATTCTGAGGCAGGGACACCCAGTGGCCCTGCAACCTCTACTTTCCCTGCAGATTTATATTCTGCTTTCCCTTTGCTGGGCTGGAGGCCACGACCCTCCCTACTTTATCCTTACAACAACCTTGCAAGGTGGGCCTATCCAAAGAGGCTCCAAAGTAAGCCCACATCAGCACTCAAACATGGGTCTCCCAAGTTCAGCCCTGTTTTGATTACTGACTGTGGGGAGCAAACCCAAGGTATCCATACACCAAGGAAAGGACCAGATGCTTCTTCAACCCCCTTCCCCCCCAACAATCCAGCCACAGCTCCCAGTCTGCAGGTGCCCAATATTGGGGCAGGTGGGGCTCGGGGCAGGCAGGCAATTGATGGCCAAGAAAGACTCTGTTCAGACCTCTACAGGTGGGACATTCTTTACCGTTTGCAATTGGCCTTAGTAGCTGACAGCAGACACTGCTGGATGTCATTACAGCTTGCAAGCCCTCCTCAGCCACACCTTTGCCCAGCAGGGCCTTTGGTGAGGTTTCTCAAGCACCATTAGGTTCAACACGCAGGAACCGAGGAGCCTGTCAAGATCCCAGGGATGGGATTTTTGTAATGACAAGGTCGTTACATTTTAGAATAACCCCGCAAGCAGGCAGGCTCCAGGGACTGGGAGAAGAGAAGGCCAAGAGGGGTCTTTCTGCCATCACTGTCTGCTTCACTCCATCTGATGCGGCTGGAAAGAAGGAGGGAACTCCCCTTCTATCTCACTGCTTCCTGGGAGTTTCCTCCCAGCTCCGTGGGAGGAGAGTTTGGCCAGAGGCTACTCCTACTAAGTTAGATGGGTAAGGCCCTCCCCCCCCCCATGGACCTTTTTCTGAGTTGATTCCCAGGAAGTGGCAAGAATCAAGCAAGCACACCCTTTGGCTTCCCAGCTGAGACATGTGGATAAAAGCACAACATGGAAGTCAAACAACATCCTCTTTGCCTCCTGGGTTTCTCTTCTCCCAGTCCGAGAAGCCTGCCTGGGAATGGGAGTGTTCAAGTCCTAGAATTATGGGAATCCCATCCCCAGGAAACATTAGTGCCGAGAAAGGTGGAAGGAGGAAAGAACTCTTGGCTAGCAGGTGACTGTGACCACAAGGCAGGGAGGGGGGAAGAGGGAGAGACACCGGCCCTTCGCGATGGGTAGAAAAGACTTTTATTATACGATACAAAAGGAGGCAAGATGTCTCAGCTTCTAGCATACATCTCCACACGTGCACATCCGGGGGGGGGGAAGGGAGGGGAAGGGGCGACATAATTTCTGCTCTCCTCAGTCAAAAGTGATCCGGAAGCTGCGTTCCTGCTCTTTGCGGCGACTCTCACACACCTTCGTCACCTCCTCCACCTTCCTCTGCAGCAGCGCTGGAGGCAAACAGAGGATGAGAAGGAGATCAGACCGTGGGTAGCAAAAGGCATCTAGCTCTGGCGAGGGAAGGTTTCGCAAGAGAGCCTCTGCAGGGCCACAGCTGCGCTTGTGCATCCGTACACAGACATGCACACACAGCACCTTCACATGTAGTGGGGCCCTTTCCCTGGAAGCTGGGCTGGAGGAACTCTGCATCCCTGAAGGGGACCGAGGACCACCACGGCCCAGAGCTGCACAGAGCCGCTCGCTGACACACCCCAGTAGCCGGCTGCCTGCAGTTTGTGGCCAGGGCGAGGGAGGACGAGACGCTGACCAGGGAACAGGGCATTCTGGGCTCTAAGGGACTGGGACCCATAATGTGCAAACGAGAAGCCCCTCCAGCGACTGTGGTGTTGGCTTTACAAGCACTTGTCCCGCTTGGCCTTAAAGGACAGGCCAGGATGTCCTCAAGTAGTGGAGGGACCCTCATGTCCTCCAAGCTCCAGACCTTGCACACACAAAACGGCTGTTGTCTGGTTAAACGGGGTGGCCTTAGACATCAGAACTGGGTTCAAATCTCTCCACCACCAAGGCAACCCCTTCCCTCTCTGCGACAAAGCAACCGGGCTCAAAGGTGAGAAGCTCACAAGCCAACAGAGGAACTGTAGTTTCCAAAGAGGCCAAAAAGGACTGAATACCTGAATTCTGATCGATCCACTGGAGAGAATCCATGTGCGCATTTAGGATTTTGCAGATCTGCTGGAGCTATGAGAGGAACAGAGATTGTGTGGTCACACCTGGGGAGGTATTCCCCTCTCCTTGCAGACACCCAGCGCTCAGCTCCGTACTCAACAGCCACTCCTCAGTGGGAGCAGGTTTGTTTCCTCCAGAGAACAGTCAAATCACATCAAAAGGCAGCTCGGGTCTGCTCACAGCCAGAAAGACTCCAGCATTATCTGAGACCAGGCCCTGGGAAGCCAGAGGGCAGAGATGGCTCTTGCAAGCAGGCAGCAGCGGCTCTCCGCTCCTCCGCAGTGCCCCTCTCTGCAGCTGCCGGGGTCCCTCCCCTGCCCTGCCCAGCCCACTGAACGTTTACTCACTGGATCGCTCGTGTCCGCAGGGCCCCCAGAGGTATTCAGGTGCTCAATTATGTCTTTCAGATCTTGTGCCATGCGCTTCAGCTGGGCATCAATGTTCTCTGCCAGCTTGTACCTACAGCATAGCACAGGGAGAATGCCAGTCTAGGACTGCTCAGCCCTCTCTGCCAAAGCTAAGAACATATCAAACAGAAGATTCCGAGCAGTTGCCGGTCTGCCTGCCCACCAGCAAGAGTCTCTCCCACAGAAGTGGGGCGTAGTCCTGCCTTGAGCAGAAGGACCCACACATCCCCCTCCTTTTACCAAGGTGAAGAGGAAACACCTGCCCCCCCCCATACCCAGAACGCCACTTCCAAACTGCTGAGGTCTGGCTGGGCTTCCATCAGGCAAGGCCTTCCCTTCAGAACAAGAGAGCACCAGCCAGTAAGATTTTTCTAGGCTCCAAAGCTGGGTCAGAAGGGCCCTCCCCAGTCCGCCCTTCCACAGCCAGGCACTGACGTACGTCTTCTCCCGCTCCTCGTCCGCATGCTGCAGATAGATGGTGCCACTCTGCTCCTTCACAGACTCCTCAAGGGGGATCAACAGGTCTTCAAGCTCCTTTTGCTGGGACAAGATAAAATCCAGTTCCTGGTCCAGTCTGCAGAGGAAGGAAGGCAGGAGATGACTAATTACAGAGGAGGAAAAGGAGAGGGAAGACTCAGGGGTGCCCGATCCTTCCTAGCCAGACATGGCTCAGAAGCCCCAGCACAAGCTGTGTGACACAAGCCCAGGGAAGGGAGGAGCGAGGACAAGCCACCCTAAGAACAGCAGGCACACAGGCCCGTGTGTGCACAGGTTAATTCCTACTCTCCACCTCAGGCACAAGCTGAGAGGGCCACAGAGGTCCTCTACCCAGAGATCGCACCACAATCTGCCAAAGCAGCTGAGGATTCCTCCTTCCAGTGCTCACCCTAAGAGACTGGCCCTCCCAAGGTGGAAAGAGGCTGCCTCAAAGGAGAGGTGGTCTCTGACCCAGTGTTTAAGCCAGGGCATCAGTGAGGCAAGCAGAGGGCCAGATTATTTCAAAAAGCTCTGAAATCCCGCCAGCCCCACAGGAGAGCTAAGCTGGCCCTTTCCACTACATCAGCTCAACAAGCTCCCATTACCCCTTTGTGGCCTTCAGTCCTTTCCTTGAAGGAAAAGCTTCCGCATCTCCTCTAGGAAGGGGCTGGAAGCCACTGGCCCTCCGCCCTTTGCTAGACTTTATAAGTTGATCAGCCCAACCAGCAGGGCTGAGGGTCACAGACAAAGGGAACCAAAAGGCTGTGGGTCCCCATCCCCCAAATCTTTCACACGTCCTCTGGTGTCCCTCAAAGTGAGAACTGTATTTCAGAGGAGGAAACTGGGGCTGCAGCAGCTTGAGAGGTGGAGAACTAAGTGATAGGAGGCAGGACCTAATCCAGACGCAGGAAACGGCCCCTCTCTCAACCCAGACTATACACTGCATTTACTCTCCCTCAGCGTCTGCTCAGTGAAGCCTCTGAGTAGTCACGGCTACAAGGAGGAGAAGTCAAGAGGGCATGCAGGCTGCCTGTTTCCTAGACTTGCTTTAGAGGAGGGCAGGGCAGGAGTATTGGGGGGGGGCAGGGTGAAAGAGAAAGAAAGAGAGAAAACCCTTAACCGTGCAAGGACATTGGTCAGTGACCAGCATTTCCTGTCTTCCACACATTTTAAGCGCTGCCTACCTCTTCTGATCCAGCTTCACTTTCTCCACTTCTCTGTGCAAAGACGTAATCTGCAAGACAAAGACAAGGTTTGCTGGCCTGGCCTTCACACTATCCTTTTCACGGTGGAAAAGGAAGAGAATTGCAACAGAAGACAGACACGGCAGCCAGCATTAGTAGCCTGAGAACACAGGACACCCAGGGAGCCCCCCGGGGAGGAGGAGCGGAGCAAAAGCCTTCCTAGTATAGTCGCCTTCTTCCTGCAGCCATGAGGTGGCGGGAAGCAGGCTGCATCCTCTGGAGGGAAGCCTACACATGGGACTGGAGTAGAGTAGCACCATCCCCAAGTATTCTCCCCAGGACTACAAAAGGATCCTGCCTCTGAAAGTGGGGGAAAGCTCAGCCCTACCAACAAGCAGCCATCCATAGTCTTGCTCCTTTCTAATCCACTCTTAGAGCTGTCTAAGCAGTCATGGCTTCTTGTGGCAGGGAATTCCACAGTTTAACTATGAGCTGTGTAAGACTGTCCTTCCCACCTTCTCTCCTGAACCACCCACTGCTCAGCAACAAACTGATCATACCATCAGAACCAGCATAATTGGAGGGGGAGGGGGAGAGAAGAGAAGCTCCCCTGCTTGTTTCTTAAACAACATGGAAATTTTTGGCTAAAAGCTGGTTAAAGGAAGCCCATCAGCTGAAGAGGCTGATGTGGTTGATACTCTGGGCCTTCTGCTCCCACTGCAGAAGCTTCCCGTACTACTTGGTTTGCCAAGGACTGCAACCAGTTGCTGCTGGTGGTGTGCCACTAAGAGCCTGGTAAGGGGCCCAGTTGCATACCTTCTCGCCGTTCTCGATCAGTGTCCTGTCCCAGGCATTGACTTGGGTGGCTTGCTGGAGGAAGTGCTTCTCCTGGTCTTCCAGCTCCAAGCTCCATTTGTTAATCAGACTCTCCAGCTGAGCGTAGGTCATCACAGGGGGAGCCCTGCAGGGAAGGCAGCAAAAGGCAGGCACATGAATGGAGTCCCGGCTTCCCACCAGAAAAGAGTCCAAGCCACAGGGAAACCCAGGGCGATGGTGGTACATGGCACTACTGCTGCTCTGGGACTTTGTTACCCAACATGCAGGATGCCCTGTGCTGCCCCCTTAAAGGCATGACATGCTTGCCACCCAGCAAGCTTACTCAGGTGGCCTGGCAGAACTTACGTGACTGATGTGGTGACCACAGAGGATGTGGACACTGCCGTAGTTGTTGTGGCCAGTGGCTTTAGGCTCAAGATGAATCCTGTACTGGGCGCAGAGGTGGCACCTGAAGGGAGAATCAATCTGTGACAAAAAGCAAGCCAGAACAGAAACTCCCCAAGCCCTGGACCTTGGGTGGGGATCGCAGGAGGGGTTACTCCCAGGCTTTGACTCAAGGGTAGCAGAAGAGCAAGCAAGCAGCTTGGGAAAGTGGGGGGGGGCACACTCTCAAGGTTGCCCATCAGGCTCCGGCAGGTGGAGATGACATGCTTGCAATGTCATCCAGCAAGCTTATCCAGACGGCCTGGCAGAACTTATGTGAATGTTGTGGACACTGAGATTTACGCTGCTGTACACATCCTCTGTGGCCCTGAATCTCTACCTGTAACACGCAGATGCAGGGCAACCACTGGCAGACCGCCCAGAAACCTCTGTGCTTTTTTGTGAGGGAAGGACGCCTTCACATCTGAAGGGAAGCACCTGTGGTGCCAGAAGGGCAAGCGGAAAATGGGACCCACTCCCACACTGGACCATGTGGTATCCATGCTATAGACACCGGAAGGCTTGTGGGCTTCCACTTGGGAAGGTTCCATGCCCTGGACAGGGAGCCCCTCTGCCAGCCTGCGACATATTTCTCAGTGAGCGTAACCTGCAGCTGGCTTTGCTGATCAGGCCACCCCATTTTAATTTCATCTGCATGGGTTTTCTGTTTTTATTTCATGGTACAATCCAGAATGCTGGCTTTTAGCATTCTGAACCATTTAGGATGAAAATATCTGAGACTGCAATCCCTTCCCACTCTTTGAAGCTTTAACTAAGCTGCTAAAATCTCATTTCGCAAAATAAAATCATTCTTCTATGCCAAATTGTTTTATGGCGCTCTTGGTGTTATTGCTCGTAGAAGACTGTAACAACCAGAATGTTCCACTCAAAGGGCTGGCGAGGACCGGGTAACTCCCTCCCTCCTGCCATGCCCTTCCCCCCTCCCCCCCGGCCATGTTTTCTTCTGATCCATACTAGTAATGGTGGGGCCAGCAGCCAACGTCATCGTTGTTGCTCCAGAGACCTTTGAGCCAAACCCCAAAGTCCCAGCAGAGGTCGTTGTCCCAGTGGAAGTGGCACCAACTGTGGGAAGAAGCAACCAAGAAAGACTCGTGGGTGGCAAGCGGAGGGTTCTGGCTTTGCCAGAGATTTGCCATTTAAGCCACATGGATGCAAAATGAGTCCCAACAAACACAAACATATACATTTCTTAATTTTCAGGGAGAGCACCTGAAGATCACAACTCCCTGAGCTAACAGCAGTCAGCAGAAGAGACACTTGGAATACTGGCAAGAGAAAGGTGACCCTTTGGGCAAACCAAACTACCCCTCCCCACCTCCACCTCACCAGCAGAGGCTGAAACGTAGGGCACCCCCTTCCCCACTCACGTGAGAGGCTAGCAGGAGTGGAGGTGGCTGGTGCCGAGGAGCTTGCTATGGATGCAAACAGAGTAGGTCCCGAGAGGCCAAGAAGGGAATTTGCCGTTGTGGCTGCAGGTGCCGTAGAGGTAGCAGTCGTACCTGTTTTGGGAGGAGGCAGACACGCAGCCTGAAGCTTTGGAAAATGAGCGGAAACTCTTGGAACCACACACACATTCTGTATCCATCTCACTTCCGGTCCACAAAAGAAACTTACAGACATGAAACTCTGTCTTTGCTAAAGCAGAAAGAAACACAGTTCTGACAATCAGCCAAAGTCAGTTAGAGATCCCTAACCCTTTAGCAACCCAATAAAAATACTGACCAACACGGGCTCTTTCTTTAATCCTGAAACAAAAGCCTACAATTATCGTTATTATTTTATCTTATACCTGCGGAGCTGGAAGGGACCCTATGGGTCATGAAATCCAACCCCTGTCAGGGAGGTCCAGTAGGGAATCGAACTCCCAACCTCTGGCTCTGCAGCCAGATGCCTCAACCATTGAGCGACCCAGCAGTACTTTTAATGAAGAAAAGGATGTAGAAAAAGAATTATTTCTGCACTTGCACTCCAATGCAAAATGTTCAAGACAAAAACAATGAGATCAAAAGTGATTTCAAAACAAAAGAACAGGCCATAATGAATTAAGGGAGGTGTTTGCTGGAAGAATTATAAGCTGGTGGCAGCGAGACAGTGGCAGCAATACAGGCATTGTGGGCTGAGAGTAGTAAGAGATAGAAGTAAAACACAAAAACAAAAGGGACCATCATGGATTAATATGTATGTAATGGGAGATAAGTGAGAATAGAAGAAACAGGCTGAAAGGTGAGGACTTATAGATTTAACTGACAAAAAGCAATGAAAAAGGCCAGCCATGACTACATGCCGACTATACGAACTGAGGAAGGCACGAAGGAGGGACACCAGCAAGAGAAGAAGTAGCCACCATATGGACGAACTAGCCAGCTTACATACCTCAGAAGCCCTGCTCTTCTCTGAGAAACCTACCTCCAAGCTTAGCTCCAAAGGGCAAGACCTGCCCCTGGGTCAGAGATCCTGTGGAAACAGTGGGGGTGGCTGCTGCTGATGTTAGCAACCCAAAGCCTGAGCCTGAAATGAAAACCAAGAGAAATCAAGGAAACCGTCCACCACCTGTTGTTACTTCCTTGTACTGTATTCTGTTCCCCTTCTAACTTGTATGTGTCCTTTCAGGATCGCACCCCTGTTTGACATGAAGCCACTTCCATCTGGGGCAAGTGGACAGCCCTTCAGCTATATGTACTATCTTACTACCTATAGTTGGCCACACCAACCACTCAAAACATATCAAGGTGCTAAAATCTAGAGAAGGTCAGCCCGCGGGCTTCTGCCCTTGCTTGGTCAAGAGTGTGAAGGGTCTACAAGGAGAATCCTATCTCTTCATCAGCCCCTGGGGAGGAATTGAACTGTTTCTAATCAAGGAGTGGCCTCACACCTGTAGACTGGGCCCCAAGGCTGAACACTGTGGCTGGCTGCGTTGCCGCAGTTGTGGTGGGAGCGGCACTGGTGGGAGCAGGAGCGCCTCCAAATGTTAACCCAACGACCGGTGGTTGCTGTGAGGCATTTGCCACTGAGCCAAGGCTGAAGGTGGGGGGTGCAGATGGTGCTGCTCCCCCACTACTGAAGCTGAAACCACCAGTTGTAGCAGGTTGGGTAGTGGTGGTGGAGCCAAACACAAAGCCCGAAGGTGCTGCTGACTGGCTGGTGGGCATGCTGCTGCTAGGGGCAGTGCCACCCAGTCCACTGCTGCTCAGCCCAAAGCCTCCCGTAATGCCTGCAGCCTGTGTTGTGGCGGTACTTCCCAAGTTCAACTTGGGGACATTTCCCCTAATGAAAAAAAGAAGAAGAAAGAGAGAGATCAATTTAAAGTGAGCTTCCTTTCTTGAGAACAGATTATAGCAGGGCTGCCGGACCAGAGGGGACCAAGCCATCCTTACCCCAAGGTGAAGACATTTCCAGCAGGAGCGGCTGTGGAGGTGGCAGGGGTACCAAAACTGAAGCCAGAGGTCTGTGCCGAGGTGGCTGGAGTTGCAAAGGAGAACAGGCCTGAAGGCTGGGCATTCGCAGGGTTTTGGGTGGGTGTGCCGAAACTGAAGCCCCCTCCAGAAGTGGCTGAGGAAAAGGAAAAGCCTGTGGGGGCTGCACTGGCTGTTGTCTTCGGAGTCCCAAAGCTGAAGCCCCCTCCAGCAGTGCCTCCTGAGGCACCAAAGTTGAACTGACTCATGACGATGATCTCTGGGTCTGGAAAAGAAAAGCAAAAAACTCCTCCCTGGTCGCTGTGCCTTCACACCCGATGGGAAATTCAGCCAAGGCCCTTTGGTGGCAACTTAACATCCGCAGAGTGGGGCCGAAAAGGACCCGAGGGTGGAATTGGGCAAAGGGAGCAGCCAGAGTCGGCCTCGCCTGCACACGGGGGGGGGGCGCTCGGGGTGTTCCCTCTTCCAGGGCTGGGAGGAAGGAAGAGCCTCCGGCGCATCGTCCCCTCTCCCTCTTCGGCTGGCTGCAAAAGACACGGGGACGGACGGACGGGAGCCCCCCCCGGCTCTCTCGCTCCCCCCACACACACACACTTGGACCACTCGCGGTGGGGCAGCGCCTGCCAGGGGTCCAGGGGAAGAGGAGGGGAGGCGGGGGAACGGGGGCTCTGCCGCTGCTCCCGCCCTCCCTCCCGCCCTCCCTTCATGAGCCAGGAGCTGCTCCGCCAGGAGTGGGGCGGTTCGGGGAAGCCCCCGGGCGTGTCTGCCGGCTCTCATGCGGCCGCTTCGGCCTCATGCGACCGGGGCTCCTTCCGCCGCTTGGAGGGCCCGGCTAAGAGGGGTTGCGGCGGCCGTTGCTCCCCGGGACTACGACTCCCAGCATCCCCCGCCTCCCCACAGCCTCCGAGGAAACGGCCGTTCGGCGACGACCAAGGCAGAAGGAAATCGGCGCCGCCTCACCCTTACCGCCACCGGAGGCGGACCTTCCTCCGCGCTGGGGCCCCTGCGGCAACTGTCCCGCTCCCGTCGCCTCGCCGCGGCGCAGTCCTATGATGTCAGAGACTCGCGCCCGTCGCAGTGACGTGTGGGGCGGTGCATTTCGGTGACTCCACCCAAGGCCGCCTCTCATCACCAATGAAAACCCGGTCGCTCCCGGCCCGCGCCCTATTGGCTGGGGAGAGGAGGGGCGGGGGGGGCTGAGGAGGAGGAGGAGGAGGAGAGTTGCCGTGGCAACGCGGGGACGCGAAGGCAAGACGACCGAAGAAGCGGCGGCGCTGGAGGCGAGCGACTCTCCCGGGTCTCTTCCCCCACCCCGGACCTGGCATGGCGTCCCCGGAGCTGCTCGGCGCCTGCCCAACGGCCTCGCTGCTGGCGCTGGCCGAGATGCTGTCCGGCGCCCCGAAAGAGGAGGAGGAGGAGGAGGAGGAGGAGGAGGAAGGCCGCCAGGTGACCGGCCCCCTCCCCCCAGGGTCCCTTGGGCCCC